CCAACAACATCTCGGGTGGCAGCTCGAGCTTGTATGCCACCTGACCAATCCTCTGAATGATTCTGTTCGGTCCGACATACCTCAGACTTAATTTTCCTTTCTTCCCGAATCGCATGATGCCCTTCATGGGGGAAACCTTCAAAAATACCCAATCATCTTCTTTGAACTACAAATCTCTACGACGAATGTCCGAATAAGACTTTTGGCAACTCTGAGCAGTTTTCAACCTCTCCTTAATAATCTTGACTTTCTCCATGGCCTAATGCACGAGGTCCGACCCTATAAATTCTGCTTCTCCAACCTTGAACCACCCAATGAGAGACCTACATATCCTACCATACAGTGCCTCGAATGGTGCCATCTGGATACTAGCATGGAAGTTGTTGTTGTAAGGAAATTCTATGAGTGACAAATGGTCATCCCAACTACCTTTGAAATCAAGAGTACAAGCACGCAACATGTACTCAAGCGTCTGAATAGTCCGCTCTGCTTGCCCGTCGGTTTGAGGATGGAAAGCTGTGCTGAGATTTACCTACGTGCCCAAGCCCTGCTGAAATTTCTTCCTAAAGTTGGCTGTGAACTGAGCCCCTCGATCTGAAATGATTGAGACGGGAGTGCCATGCAACCTGACTATTTCTTTAATATACAATTGAGCATACTGTTCCACTGTGTCGGTAGATTTAACTGGCAAGAAGTGTGCTGATTTTGTGAGTCGATCCACGATCACCCAAATTGAGTCAAACTTGCGCAGATTGTACGGCAACCCTACCACAAAATCCATGTTGATCACCTCCCATTTCCACATTGGAATTTCTATGCTTTGAGCCATTCCACCAGGTCTTTGATGTTCGGCCTTCACTTGCTGACAATTCAAACATCTAGCCACAAAGTCCACCACATCCCTTTTCATGTCATTCCACCAATAAAATTCCCTGAGATCATGATACATTTTTGTAGAACCTGGGTGCACGGAATACCTGGAAGTGTGAGCTTCTGCCATGATCCTTTCCCGAAGACCGTCAATATCCGGAACACATAGGCGGCCTTGGTACCATAGGGTACCATCATCCATGCCAAGGGAAAAAGCTGTGGTCTTGTGTTTATGAATACCCTCTTTCAGTTGTGCTAACAATGGATCGTTGAATTACTTCTCTTTCACTTCCGTCATAAGCGATGATTCAGCCCAATTCTGCACAATCACTCCTCCTTCATTAGAGTCCGCTAGGCGAACTCCCAAACTAGCCAACTGGTGAACCTCCCTGGCCAACAACCTCCGATATGCCTCCAAATGAGCCAAGCTCCCCATAGATTTTCGACTAAGAGCATCCGCTACAACATTAGCCTTTCCCGGGTGATAGAGAATATCAATGTCATAGTCTTTGAGTAACTATAGCCATCTTCTTTGTCTCAGATTCAACTTCTTTTGCTTGAAAATATATTGAAGGCTCTTGTGGTCCGTAAATACATCCACATGCACCCAATACAAATAATGTCGCCAAATCTTTAGTGCAAACACCACTGCCGCAAGCTCTAAGTCATGGGTTGGATAGTTCTTTTCATGGTTCTTGAGTTGCCTAGAAGTGTAGGTTATAACCTTGCGGTGTTGAATTAACACACACCCAAGCCCGATCATTGAAGCGTCGCAATACACCACAAATCCCTCTGTACCCTTTAGCAGGGTAAATACTGGCGCTGTAGTCAGTCTTGATTTCAATTCTTGGAAACTCCTTTCACAAGCATCAGACCATTGGAATTTAACTGCTTTCTGGGTCAATTTAGTCAATGGAGAGGCAAGAGTAGAAAACCCCTCCACAAATCTCTTGTAGTACCCAGCCAAACCCAAAACACTGTGAATCTCTATTGGAGTGGTAGGTCTGGGCCAATTCCTCACTGCTGCATTCTTTTAAGGATCAACCATAATTCCTTCCCTGGAGACGACATGACCCAAGAATGCGACGGATTCAAGCCAGAATTCGCATTTCAAAATTTTTGCATACAGTTGATGTTGCTGAAGAGTCTGTAGAACTGACCTGATATGGTTAACATGATCTTCTCGACTTCGGGAATATACAAGAATATCGTCAATGAATACTGTCACAAAGAAGTCTAGAAAAGGCTTGAAGACTCGATTCATAAGATCCATGAAAGCTGCCAGGGCATTTGTTAGCCCAAAAGACATCACCATAAATTCAAAGTGCCCATACCGAATCCTGAAAGTTGTTTTTGGAATATCATGTTCCCTTATCTTCAATTGATGATACCCAGACCGCAAGTCAATTTTTGAGAAACACGTAACACTTTGCAATTGATCAAACAA